CTCAAGAAAATGACTGTAACTCAGAAACACAGACAAATTTGTGAGGGATTGCAGATTTGCAAACAGCAAGAATAACAGAATGAGACTTCTGTGGAATTCTTTTCCTGACCAAAGTCCTGGTTTCCGGGGACGGTTTGAATTTCTGCCAACATCTCTAATGAAGTGATGGGCCAGGCTGTGAGTTCCACAAGGCTAGACTCAGGCAAAAGAGTGAAATCTTAAAAGGAAAGATGATTCTCTTTTATATTTAATACAATTTTTTACAGAATGTCAACCATTTGGACCAGAAAATATAGGTTAGTAATTGACATGCGACTCTTTTGTCTTCACATTTAAGAGGCTCTAGGTCAAAGTTTTTCACCCCCAGATAGAATTACCTTCTTAGCTGTTATACTGCCTCAGACAGGGTAATTTTCCTAGAAACAAAAGAGGTTTTCATGAAAAGTATCTCTATTCATGTTTCAAGTGAGAATGAGACGTAAAGATTCTCACAACAGGGAGCGTGGCTCTAATGCTTTGCAAATTTACCCCTGGTCTGAACTCACATCAGCCACTTGGGCATCTCTGTTTAGAACCTTCGGACATCGTTTGTATTTGGAAATCATTTAGAACCCCCTTTCTAGGAAAACATATTCTGCTGACATTGTGAGAAGATATTTTGGTATTTTATTAGAAGTTAATGGGTCTGTAAGTTTTATTTTATTTTATTTTATTTTTTGACAGTGAACTGTGCTAAGAGCTAATAGAGTAAGCAGTGAGGAAAGTCTGCAAAGCACCACCTATGTTTTCTACTAATTCTTGGATAAATGTGTGTGTTTCATAAGGGTAATAGCCATTTCCTTTATGAAGTCACTTTTTCCTAACAGGAAAAAGGCTTATTTAGGTGGTAGAAAAAAATCAATGCCTGTGTTAATGTATATGAGGAAGAAATAAAACTCAATCAAAATGACTGTTGGCTTCTTTCATTGAAAAGGAAGTCATCTTTTTCTTTGATATAATTGTGTCAGATGTGTTTAGTTTATATGGAACTTTCCCCCAACAGTCCTAGACAATGGGCATATTTTCTAAGTAAACAATAAAATTATTTTCTGTGAACTGTTAGTCAAATTGCTATCAAACCATGGAAAGGAATTGGATAGCCATGTTATGAGCTTTGACTCCTTAAGAAATACAGGGTATTCAGGGTTGCCCTGACCAAGCTATCACTTATCTCCTCCTAACAAGGCATCCTTTACCTCTTCATCAGGATGTGATGGCAGAAGCCATCCTGAGGAAATTTGCTTCTCCATAGCACACCTCCTGAAAGAGTGCTTCCCTTGACTTAATATGTAAACTTAGAAAGTACAGTGTTCCTTGGCTTAGCAGTGATTGACACTGAGATTTGTGGGGAGCTGGAAAAGGGAATCGTGAGGATCTCTGAGAAAGCCTTCCAACTTTTACATAAGGCCATCTTGGAAATGGAGGTTGGAAACCAGAGTTCCAGCCCTTCGTTTTCCTTCTCCATTGCATCATTCTCTTCTCTTGGGCCCAGAGTTTAGACTAGTATTGTGAATGATAGGACAGTGAGGGGTTTGCTTAAAAAGTCAGTGTGGTTTCCCTGTGTGCCCTTTTTTGTGCTACCATTTAGACATTGCTTACGAGGGTCATGGTCACCATCACCTGGCGCTGAGTGTTGAAGTGCACACAGAGGGCCTAACCTAGTCCATTGGAACAGTATTCGACTTGCATTCTTCAGACGGTTGCTTACATTTTCTGGATGCTTTTGACATAGAGTAATGTCTGTAACATGAATTGCTGAAATACAGAATTTTAATGGGAAGTGCTATTTCTATGCTTTACCTTAGTTGACAACATAGGATTTTATTAACCTGGGAAAAAAATGGAGATTTTTTTTTCCTTTTTAGTCTATTTGTAAGTATATTCTAAGAAATGATTGGTCAGGAGGCTGGAGTGGTTAGGAAGCCGTGGTGTGCTTTCAGTGTACCAGACAGCCCATTAACTTATAAATTAGGCCAAATTAAGCATCGTCATGTAAACTGTCTTGGCAATAAAAATAGCTGTAATTTATCATTCAGGCTCTTGGATGGAAGCCTTGGGGAGAGCTTCACTTTGCCTTTGGATTGCTTTCCTGCTGGCTACTTTTTTGATTGCTGTGGTTTTGGAGAAGAACAGAGTTTCTGGGCATCACCTATTTAGCCATTAGTTCAGACTAGCAACTTGTGAGATGTTGTCAGTAGAAATTAAACACCGATCCCTTGAACTGTCTCTCAGTAAAAAAATGTAGTTAGATTTTTTTCCTATTCTGTTTTGAAGGCAGCCAGAAAGTTCAAATCAATAAATTTCAGGTCCTAATGAATGATAGTTTCCCACGTAACAGTATTGTTCTGTTCATGACTTACCTTATTTGCACAGCTTTGGGCAAATTTGCTCATACAAATATTCTTCAACAGATATGGTTACGAATGTATTTCGTTAACTTTGTTAAAGAAGTAAACAGTAAACTAACACCTGGGAGACAAACGAATTAACCCATTGAGGGGAAAACGTACATCTTTCAAAACTTCTGACGTATGAAAAGAATTACTTTCAGCTTTATGCAAATCAGCAATGTGTATCTTAAGATTTTAGATGATTTATAGGTTTTATTAATCCACAACTAGTCATAAAATCCTGCCCAGTTAAAAAAGTGCCATCCTATAATATACGTGAAGCCTGATTATTAAAAGTAACTGATTTAACTCCATAAAACTTCATACCATGTATGTCTAGATCAACATATCAGAGCTTGCATATCTTCCAGATGACTCAAAACCACAAAGACAGGGAAGAGGTAATTCATTGAAAACCCTACATAGCTATGTGCATTTTTTCCCCTAGATTTGACATAAAAACTTTTACTCCTTAGAAGTAATAATCTATTCATACATTGAGAAATATCTTTAAACTAACTGGAAAGCATTTATGAATGAAACAGGAAGTTTTGCTTCACTTAGTGAAATTATCTTTGACAGAGTTCAAGTCATGCATTTATTTATTGTTTTTAATGGAGGTTCTGGGGATTGAACCCAGGACCTCAAGCATGCCAAACACTGTACTTCACCGCTGAGCTATACTCTCCCCTTTGGATGATTTTATAAAATAATTGTGTAATTTCACTTGGAGCTCTG